ATTCTAAATTTTCTAGTGCAAATATGAAAAGTAAAGTGATAGCTGTTAATGTGTTGCTTCCATTAGTAAAAAGGCTTTTCAAACAGTTCAGTGATGCTGGTTTTATATCAATGTCATCAAAGGTCTAAAACAGAAAGTCGGTCAGATTAATTCCAATAATGGTTTAGTTTCCCCTTAGCTCATGGAAACAAAGTACAGCTTCTGTAAGTTCATTCTTTTAAAAGTGAAATATCTGACATTACTGTGAATTCTATCTTACTATGCTTGAAAAGTTCAAGGCTAAAGATAAAATTTTTAATTTTTATATTAATAATACACACTCTGATAAAGCACAACATTTGTAAAAACAATGTTCTTCTTAATCTATAAAACACAAATGTACTCAGCACTGGAATTATAATTCACAATTGTGCCCAAATGAGCTGTGATAACATACCAGTCAAAACAGAGGCCATACTTGTCAAATTTTTAGATAATCTTGTTTATACCCAGAACAAAAATTTTATAACAAGCTGATATTAAATATACAAAAATACTTCAACAATGCAGATGCTTTCTCTGCCGCCTACCATCAATTATATCTTTAATATATGAGCCTTTGAAGACTGACTTTATAAAACCCGTGTCATATAATGATCCCATTATTATTGTTGGAAATAAGTCATTTAAATCTCAGTTGCATTTTGTTCAGAATCAGAAATCTTTAATCAGATCGTTCAAGTTAACCCTTTGAAGCTTTTAGTAAAATTCAATTAATGAAAACAAAACTATGAACAGGAAGACATTGAAATTTATCCCTACAAAAGCAAATAAAAACTGAACAAATTGTGCATTAAAAGCTGACACACTGAATGATTTAATTTTGAAATTCTATAATTGTACTTTGAAATATCTTGACTTGCAGGAAGAATCTTTTGATGGAACTCCTTTCTAATAATATAAATTTATGTTTTATTCCATAACAAAATAAAATTAAGTAGGCCTAAAATTTGGGACATATTCAAAGAAATCACAGAAAAAGCTTACTTGATGAATTTTGTCTTTAAAAATACTGAAGACCTTATTATGGAAAAAGGGTACTCTGAATGCAGATAAAAAACCAAAACCTAAAAAATACTAAAACTGAAATATTTATACATTTCAATTAAAATAAATTTTTAAAAATGAAGACTCTTCCATTTAATAGAATTTTCTCTGACTTTATTAGGTACATGAGAACCTGAACAGTATTTTATTATTGAAAAACACTATGACCTAAAGAAAAGAATTAACTGAAGGCCTCACTTAAAATTTATTAACCGCCCTGGCTGGTGTAGCTCAGTGGATTGAGCGCAGGCCTGCGAACCAGACAATCGCGGTTCGATTCCCAGTCAGGGCACATGCCAGGGTTGCAGGCAGGTTCCCTGCAGGCCAGTTCCCAGCAGGGGATGCACGAAAGGCAACCATACATTGATGTTTCTCTCCCTCTCTCCTTCCCTTCCCCTCTAAAGAGAAATAAATAAAATCTTTAAAATAAAAAAATAAAAAAAAAAATTTATTAACCATAAAATGCAACTCCGAGGATGACTGCACCAATTTTTTAATAAAAATGAGACCATACTGAAAAAATGTTTTTCAAAAGTACATCAGCAACACCATATTAGAGACTGGTTTAAAAAAATGATTCAAGTACACAAATAGACTATTCTACTTATGTTAGTGTTTAGATTATGTTATGTTTAGACAATCACATACAAAGATGTTTTTAATCTCGTAAGTATAAATGTTTTCTAGGAAAAAATGTTTTGAAGCAGTTTTTAATAGAAATGTTATAGACCTATCAAAACAGAAGAATTTGCCAATCAGTAAATACTTCAAAATATTATAATTTTAATTGAAATTCTCTTGCAATCTTTCTCTCCCTTCTCAAGGAAGTCCTAGTTTAGATGATAAATTAAGAAATCTATTGCAAGTTTCTGAGCATAAGGACTAATTCGATTAATGCCTTTATCTTCTTTAGTATGTATCTTACAAAATGCCAATGATTACAAAGGCATTTCTGGATTCTCTTACCCTCACAGAACCACGTTCTTCCCTCATCAGCCCTCCCCTCTCTAACCCTTGGACTGGGCCTCAGGAGATTATTCAGGCACCAGCAAAATTTCTGTACCATCAGCTCTTTTATGAACACTGCTGCCTCTTAAGCCCTCTTAAGTGGTGGCTAATTTCTTTTCTATATCCCTCTGGGACCTAGAGGTGGGCTTCCTGGCATTTCATTCATTACCACTTGCATTCTATTGCCACACCCTCTCTTTAAACAAACAACAACAAAACTGCCATCAGACCGCCTACAGGTTCTTAAAGAGAAATCCCCTCAGTGCCCTAAGGATTTTTAGCACTAAACTCATTGTTATTCTCTCTAACAACACTATTCCTGTCAACATTCTTAGTGTTTCCAATATCCATATTGGTAAAACCTTCTGATACTCACTCTTGTCCTCTGCCCCATCTTGGATTCCCATTGTTAGGGCCTAGATTTTTGTCTTCACAAATACTGCAAATGCTTCATAATCCCAACTTCAAACATCTTAATCACTTATCTTTTCACCTATCACCCTTAATATCCTAACTCCAAAAATATTTAAATTCTATTAGGATCTACAATTTACTGAAACTGTCTTTCCACTATCCCTTCAAGTTCTCACATCCCTCCTAGTCTGGCTCAGATTTCATAGTCTGCTATTAAGATCACTCCTCTGCATCATCCTTAAACCCATGGCCCTCTGACTTTGTCACACTTACCAGGCAAAATCCCAACCCTGGTTAAATCCAATTTTCTGCCTATTAATAAATTTGTACAAGCAGAACTAAATAAAGCTCGAGAAAAACATATAACCTGGTAATATGTCTCACTTTAAAACCACAATCACTAACCTGAAGTAGGCCTTTAATACTGCCCAGCAATCCAACTATATTCCCTAGTTCATTTAGCTTTCTCTCTCCTCTATTATCTCATATCTACTCCTCTTTCTTCAAACCTCCTCCTTCCCACTGTCAGCTAATGACTTTATATCCTATTCACTGAGAAAACACAAGCATTCTACAGTTATTGTCCACAGGTTTTCCCCATCTCATGTAAGTGCATGTTCCTCCCCTCCACATATGAATTTGACCATGCTTCTCCTACCTTTGGCCAATCTCTCCCTCTTGTGCACAATGTGCTAGCCCCTCACACTTAATCAGGACATCACTCCAGCAATTCTCCCCCTTTTTGTTATAAAATCAACCTAACCCTCACTATTGGATCATCTCCACCCATATATATGCTATAATCTGATGCAGACTCTGTCCAGCAGGGTCCATGTGTTGTGGATGCAATGAGCAAATTCACACAGACTGCAAAAGTCTTGTGGAGAAAAAGTGATGGCACAGCCACTCTCTGAGTGACAGAGTGCCCCAACCCTTGCCTGGACAGGCTTTTATAGGTTTCTAATAGCATACATCAAAGAAGGTTCTCACTCATTATGCTCAGGTTTGCTTTAGTTGATTACCTTTTACAGGTAACAAAGGAAAGGATGTTGCTGATTACTTCTTACAAATAATATTCAAAGAACTCTGTGGGCTTATTCTGAGTCAGGGTTAGTTAACCAAAGGGCCATAAAACTTTGGGAAACAAACTCATTTCTTGCTTGAACCCTTATCAGAAAATTGGGGGCATTCTTAGCAAAGCAGGTTTCACAGGATTTTTTGCATTCTTTCTTAGACCTGATTGCCCCAGGGAACCTGTCCTTTCCAGCACAGCGCTGCACTGTCCTCCAGCAATGTTTCAGGCTTAAATCAGGCAGGAAGCAAGGCAGCCAAGAGATTAGGAGACTTCTTGCAGACAGACTGGGGACTCAGGTTATGTCAAAGCCAAGGGGTGAGGGTCCATCATTCCCTTTTTCTATAGCCCCCCCCAAGTCCTTCCCTGATGGCCACACCATGACCATGTCTGTCTTAGGATGTCCCTCCCTTGAGGAATCTTACCTGTCATTGGCTAACCAGTCATCCGCCAGGAGCCAAGCAGGGTAAAGTAAAAGGGAGATAATCTTTGTCTCCTTAGTGGTTTATAGTCCCAAGGTCTCTCACTCAGCCTTAGCCACAGGGAAGGGGGGGGGGGGTGGTTGAAAAACAAAGCTGACAAGAAGGCTAGGTGCGTTCTGACAAAATAACTAATAATGTGAGATGCAGCAAGAAAGTGAACAAGGTAAAATATAAAGGAAAACTCACATCTTTCCAACTCCCCTGGAAGTAAAATTTTTACACTCGTTAACTTTCTTGATATCCTTAAACTACCATGACAGTCTGAACAATAAATGGAAGGAAAATAAACGTGCCATTTTTACATTTCAACCTTATTTCTGTTTCTACCTGTTGTTTTAGGCTTATATGACATAAGAATAAATGTTCTAATATTTACACCTGAAACTTTTGCTTCTCACAGTACTTTACCTCCCAGAATCATCAAAACAGACATCTGTGTGTCCCTCTGTATGTCCATATCTCATCGGTTTCCGTGTCGCAGGCATCTTTTCCTTCACCCAGCTGAAAATGTTCCATAAAAGATAGCATTATTTTAAAGAAAAGGAAAGCCGAGGACTGGAGAAGAAAGGACCCTCTTTTCTTCATACTATTAAATATCTTCCCCGGGCAAGCTCTCGACATCTTCTATACCCCACCCAAGCGGCAAAAGCAGAAAAAAACTACAGGATCTATTAGTCAATAAGCCGGGAAAAGGACACTCTTCTCTTCTGCACGGGTAGCACCAAACAGAACTCACCAAGACGCTTGCGCCTCCGCAACTGAAGAAAGGAGAGGAAAGCTCCAGTGCTGGGACGATTCCCGCGCTCAAGGCGCGCTGGCCACACTGCGCTTGTGCCGGCACGCCCACGCCCAGCTCTAGTCCGGACTCAGGTCGCGGAATGGTGACGTCACGGATCGCCGGATGCAAGGAAAAAAGCCGGTTGCTGGGGGACTAGGAAAGAAAAGGAGGGAGCCGAACACGGAAGTAGTGGTAGCGTCCGGAGAGCGAGTGGAGGCGGTGACCGCGACGTCTCCGACGCGAACCCTGAGCCGAGGGGGTGGGAACTTGCTGAAAGGCAATCGCCTCGTAGGACTTAGATGAGGTGCAGGAGTGGCAAGGCCTCCCTCTTCCACCTCAGCAAGCACCCAGAGTGATGGCGATGGTGATGGCGGCAGTTACTCGGACAGCTCCAGTTAAACTGCGCTTGGAGAGGTGAGTGGGGGAAGGGTGGTTTCTGCGTGCCCACCTATTGAGGTCCGCTCCTACCTTTCAGGCTCTCCTCACATCCTACCATATCCGCGACCCTAAACCGGCCCAGCTCGGTTGGAGGATGTGATCTTTGGGCACCTTCTCCAGAGTAGAGGAAAACGAGACCCTTCTCGACCCTTTAATCTTGGCATCCTTCGCGCCCTTACCTTGTCATTTTTCTAGAGATAAAAAAGAAGGAAGACTTCATCTCAGTTTGTGATCCCTGGAGTTATGGCGTGTACATTAACGCGTAATTTTGGAGACTCTTCATAGATCCCTTAAGAAGAAAGTAACTTGCGTTCCTGTTCAGACCCCACTTAAAGTTCAGTGAAGTGCGTACTTGGATTTAAAAGAGGAGCTAGAACTAAGGTGCATTGTTGAATACTTCGATCTGTCCATGCAATATGTACTTAGGTGTTGGCCATTAAGTTTATGCTTTGCTTATGTCTTCACGTTATCCATGTTGGTAGACCGATCTCCGATGAAAACCTTCACAAAGATTTTGTGTATCTGTAGTACCCACCACTTAGTCTCAGTCATACCTTTTTATGACGTAAACGAGACGTTTTTCTGTTGTAGAGATTTCCCCCATTATTTTTCAATCTCTTTCCATTTTGAAAGGTTGCAAACACACATAGTTAAGACAAGTCATAGTACTGTTCTTACCGTTGTGTCATTTTGTAAAGGGTGGTTTTGAGTACTGGGACTCCAAATAGGCTTGCTAGACACTCAGGTTTGGTATATGAATGAAGAGAAAGAGGGATTGGCTGAAAAAGAACTTGGGATTTGTGGGGAAATAATCTATTGTTGAATTCCCTCTATCGCGAAAGATAACCTGAGACAATTCTTGAGTGGCTTAATGTTATTTGCAGATTATTTGTTTTTTAGATAGACTGATTTGCACATTTTTTATCCAAGTAAAAATCATTGGATTTACTGTAGGGTCAAGCTGAACGCTGACATTGTTCATTTCTATAATGAATAAATCTTGATGAGATTTCAGTGTAATACTATTCAGAGCTCAAGATAAGAATTTGCAAATTGAAATAAGTTATAGCTATAAAATGCTCTAATATCTATAATACCATTTGACTTTAAAATAATGAATGGTGTTCACACTTCTGTTCTTTCACTTTGCTTACATTAAAGAAAATTTTCCTTTACGAATTTTACATGTCTGAAAGAGCTTGAGCTTTACAGTCAAACAGCCCTGGGTTTTCCTTTTGACTCTGTTACTCTTTGTGTGACTCTGAATATGCTCCTCTACTTTTGCAGAATGTCAGATTCCTCATTGCTAAAATGTAGTGATACCTACCTCCATTGATTTTCTAAAGTATACAGAAGATAAAAATTTCACTAGATAGCCCTGGCTGGTATAGTTCGGTGGATTGAGTGACAGCCTGCCAACCAAAGAGTGGCTGTTCCATTCCCAGTCTGGGGCACAAGCCTGTGTTGCTGGCCAGGTCCCCAGTAGGGGGCGCGCCAAGGGCTACCACACTTGGATGTTTCTCTCCCTCTTTCTCCTTCCCTTCCCCTCTAAAAATAAATAAAATCTTCAAAACATTTTTTAAATTTCTCTGAATAATGATTTAAACTGACTCCATTTTAAATGAAACCACTAAATGTCCACCCAAAGCATCCCGTTAATAACACAAGACATTAATTAGTTTTATACATCTGTGAATATCTCAATGTAGTCTTTTTGCTGCAGTATTTTCACAATTCCATTTCTGTTTCAGTCAAATGCCTGCAAACTTTAATATCTCCAGTGAATTTGTGGTCTTCTTGAGGACAACAGAAACTCAAAGTGTGCACAGTGGTAGTTCAATAATGAAATAAATGTAACAAATGGTAGCAAAAATTCTAGTTATTTAAGATTATATATAGCAAATGGACAGTGCATGTCTTGCAGAGGTAGGTAGCTGAATGAACTCACTGAAAATAATGCTAAGGTCACAAATTCAATTGCAGTGAAGTGGGTTAGCTTTGCTCTGTTGTGACCTCTCATAGTACCATTAGGCTCACAAATGTTGTTGGTCCCAAGGGAGTAGGGTGAGAAAACATGAATATATTACCATTCCACTAGTATTATCTACATAAAAAATAATATTGTATAACCTTGGAGACTCGGTTTATCCAAGAGGCGTATCAGTATTGCCTTATGGAAGGAGTTTTAAAAATATCTTTTCAATAAAATGTCTGTGTTATATAAAATGATCAATCCTGTGAAAGATAAGACCGGAAGAGAGTGTAACAATAACAGAAGAACATAGTGTGGAATAATAACACTGAAGGTAGTTTAGAAATCTGAAGATTTTTATATGCCTGAAAATATCCTGAAACTTACCTGCTCTCTAAATTTATTTTTGGAGTAAATAATGCTTGCACCTGTATAAACCTCCTAGGGTATAAAAGGGAATCACAGTCTTATGTTATATTAACACTGGATCCAACATAGATATAATAATCACTCTTATATAGATGAAAAAACTGAGACTCAGAAAGAATGTAATTTGTCCAAGGTCATGGTCCTTCCAAATGTCAGAGCTACAAATAGAACTGAAGCTTTTTACCTTCTAATCCAAGGTAGTCTTAACCATACTGCCTCTCCAAATCATAACTGTTGCCATAAAACAGAAATTAGTGAAATATACCAGGATTTTAAGGCAATTTTATTGAAGTCTAGAGTCACCTTATGATAGTTTATAGGTAAAACTTGTTCCCAAGCTTAAATGTAAGTATATGTAATTACTATAAAGCAATGAAAAGAATAATCTATAATCAGTTTAAAAAATATTTGCCTACTATTTCTGTTGAAATCTATTTAAAAGTGAGCTTGCAAAACTACAAAATTTTTCTAATTAAAGTTTGGTTACATACAACCATATTATTTTCAAAGAATTTAAAATGTTAAAATGTTTTTTTAAAACAGCATGTTCATTATTAGGAGAGCTTATGTGCTTTTAGATATTAGGAGAACTTTAGTGCTTTTTAGATATTCCAGAAGTGCTAAAGCCTCTTCAGCCGCAGTTTTGTGAAGTCTGGTTTTGTGCAGATATTCTACCTTATATGTAGGTAGCCTTTGTTTCATCTTTTCCTTTTTTTAATCTTAATTTCACTAGTTTCCCATTTTCATTTTTTAGAAATTAGCTTCTACATTGAAAAGTTGAGTAAAACTAGAAAGCAATTAATATGTATTTTCATTAAGCTCAATGTATGCTGTTTTTGTACATTTTAATCCTGGCAATAAAAATATGAGGCAACCGGCATTATCCAGATTTTACAAAGGGAATACTGAAACTAAAAAGAGATTTTTAAAATCACTTGACTATTAAGTGACAGTCTTAATTTTAGCCCATGTGTGATGATTTAGCAACTCATGCTATTTCATCTGTACCATGCTTCATTTTAAATATAGTACAGTGAAAAACTGTATATTATTATTTTTATGGAGCTTAAAACTTTAAAATTTTCTCTTTAGACTAACTTGCTCATACAGGAAAAAAAGACTGCAAGGGAACAAGCCAAAATGTCCAACTTGACTGCTTAATTGAATTACAGTCGACCCTTGAACAGCTCCGGATTTAGGGGCCACAATCCCTTGCCCCTATGTTCAGTGGAAAATCTGAACATGACTTTTGACTCCTCCAAAACTTAATTAGTAGCCTGCTGTTGATTGTAACCCTATCTATTAACACATATTTTACAGTATGTATGTGTGTGTGTTCTTACAGTAAAATAAGCCAGAGAAAAGAAAATGTTGTTAAGAAAATTATGGAGAGAAATACATTTATAGTAGTATACATATTTATTGGGAAAAATTGCATATAAGTAGATCCATGCAATTTAAACATGTGTTGCTCAAGCATCAGCTGTTCTTCCTCTTTTTAAAAAAATATGTATTGATTGATTCTTAGAAAGAAGAAGGGGGAGAGAGACAGAAACATCAATTGAGTTTTTAAAATTTTTTTTTTCAATCCTCACCCTAGGATATGTTTATTGAATTTTAGGTGGGGGAGGGGGAGAAAGAAACATCAAAACATTGATGTGAGAGAGAAACATTAATTGGTTGCCTCTGAGCCCAACCATGAATCAAATCTGCATCCATCCCACGACCTTTTGGTGTACAAGACAATGCTTCCATCAACTGAGCCACCCAGCCAGGGCAAAACATCAATTTTCTGTTCTACCCACCTATGCATTCAATAGTTGCTTCTTGCATGTGCCCTGACCAGAGATGGAACCTACAACTTGGCTTAAGTGGACAGTGCTCTAATGAACTGAACATCTGGCCAGGGCTAGATGCTCTTTTTTCTTCTAAGAAAACTTCTGGGTGTTCCATATATTTTATAATGAGCATGTATTGTTCTTATAATTTAAAGGTTACAAGGAAAAATATATCTGTGCAATCCAATTTATTCCCTAAACTATTATAATAGTCTACCCTAAATAGTCTAGTTTCTAAGATTTTGTTAAGGTTCTTCCACTTTTGGAAGTCCATGTACTGCCAACTCTTAGTTTTCTGCTCTCTCTTCATGCTAGATTAGTGATTTTCAACCTTTTTTTTTTCATCTGTAACATACATAAACTAATTATTAAAATTCTTCAGTACACCAAAAATATGCTTTTTGCCAATCTGAGAAAAAAATAGGTATAATTTTAATTCTTTCACACTGGACAGTTATTGTTATGTTGGCTATTGTTGTTTTTTATTTGACAGTCTAGGGGAAAAGAGATCAGCATCCCTGACTAAATAGTCAGGCATGTTTTAAATATTCTTGAAGCACACCATTTGAAAATCTCAGCTCTGTATTAACTTCCATCAGTTGCAGGTTACTAGACATTTCTCATTATCTTTAGTTAGCATGCTCAGGAAATATATACTCTTTTTTTTTAAGATTTTATTTATTTTTAGATGAGGGGAAGGGAGGGAGAAAGAGAGGGCGAAAAACATCAGTGTGTGG